CTTCTGCTGGGCAGGATCTAGACATTTCCACTCTTCTGGGGAGAATTCTATGGCCACATCCCTGAATGTTAAGAGTTCCTGAAAACACATTTATCAAGTGACAGAGTTTTTTTTTTTTTTGAGATGGAGTCTCGCTCTGTCGCCCAGGCTGGAGTGCAGTGACTAGATCTCAGCTCACTGCAAGCTCCGCCCCCCGGGGTTTACGCCATTCTCCTGCCTCAGCCTCCCGAGTAGCTGGGACTACAGGTGCCCACCACCGTGTCCGGCTAATTTTTTGTATTTTTTTTTTTAGTAGAGACGGAGTTTCACCGTGTTAGCCAGGATGGTCTCGATCTCCTGACCTCGTGATCCACCCGTCTTGGCCTCCCAAAGTGCTGGGATTACAGGCTTGAGCCACTGCGCCTGGCCTTTTTTTTTTTTTTTTTTTTTTTTTGAGACAGAGTCTTGCTTTGTTGCCCAGGCTGGAGTGCAGTGGCGCCATCTCAGCTCACTGCAAACTCCGCTTTTTGAGTTCATGCCATTCTCCTGCCTCAGCCTCCCGAGCAGCTGGGACTACAGGTGCCTGCCACCATGCCTAATTTTTTTTTTTTTGTATTTTTAGTAGAGACGAGGTTTCACCTTGTTAGCCAGGATGGTCTCGATCTCCTGACCTCATGATCCGCCTGCCTCGGCCTCCCAAAGTGCCGGATTACAGGTGTGAGCCACCGCGCCCGGCCAGTGACAGAGTTCTCAATTTGACCACAGGAGAAATGAGTTAAGGGAGCTAGTTCTGACTGTAATTATCTGATAAAATAACTTTCAACACAGTAATGTTCTCTAAAGTATTCTATAACTCTTAGGAAAAAGGATGGCATGCGAGCAATTATTGTTGCTGCAATGGAAATATGGGCTACACTGACCTGCTGCTACCGAAACCAAGCAGAGTAGGCCCTGTGACTTCCTGGAACAAAGGGTAAACTCACCACTCATTAAAATATCTGGAAACCCTCATGCTTGACCCTGGCCTCGCTGTAGAATCATGTTTTAATTTAAAAAACAGGGATGTTTCCACCCAGAACAACAGACAGGCTCTGTGGGGAGGGAACAAGTGACTTTCTCTTCAAACAGTCCATGTGATCCTATTAGAAGACTGGGCTGAGAGTCAGCTAGGCACTGGCTTTCAAGCTTCAATGTGCATATAAATTATTTGCTATTCTAGGCCTCACTGTAAATAACAAAATTCTGCAGGTTTGAAAAGGGTCCATGAAAAGGAGCTTCTTATAGCAAGTCTCCTGTTGATGCTGATATTCCTCTCCCTAGATCCATTATAGTACCACTCAGCTAGAGTAAGCAGGCACAGCACACAGGGTCCCTTACCCCAACACAAATACTTTTCATCTGAAGACAAGACTACCAGTCATCATCCTGAAACAGGACATTCTCTGCAAGCCCTTCAACGGTTACAGAGGTTGGAGATGGTGGCAATGTCTGAATAAGTCTGCATTTGAAAAACATGTGCATATGCATTAATGTGATCTTTACGGAGCATGTACTGTGTGTGCAGGAGTATGTCACAGAGCACTGTGCTGGGAAGCTCACATTATGTGTGTTAATTCTCATAACATCCTGGGAGGTGGGTACTAAGTGTCCCATAATTCCCAGGATTTAAATGTAGGGTCCAGCATTTCTATTTTTTTTTTTTTCTGTTTCCCTATCATTTTTTTTTTAAAATGTTCAGAATAATAGTTCAATATAAATAGATGGGAGAAAAACAGAATAGAAGTGTTAAGTGCAATTCAGAGGAATTTATTTTTGTATTTGTATTTACTTTGAGAATTGTAAAAAAAAAAAAAAAAAACCTGTTGGGATGGAGAACAGATTGCTGGATGTCTCTAGAAACACTGGTTTTAATTTTATAAAAAGAATTTAAAGCACAAAAGTATATTGCTTTTGCCCATTTATCTGCTTTTGTGTTTCAGGAAATTGGAAGCACCAGCTCTGAAGAGGCAGTAGGAGTAGCCACCCCAAACTCAGATCTCCTCTAAGCAGTTCTGTGAGATTTCAGTGTGGATTAGACCTGGACAAGATTCAGCAGAGGGTGGATCTGGGCAGGGTTGGGATAGAAGGTGGGCCCTAGGCTTCTGCTCTCTGGGCCACTAAGTATTTTCAGTTTTGTTTTTTCTAAGCCTGAGCAAGAGAAATTTGATTCCCAGAGTTTGTGTAATTTTAATCTATTTTAGACACTTCCCTGTCTATATTACAATATACAATAAGGAGGAATTTAACCAAAACCCTTATGTTTTTCTGGACCAATTATATTAGAAGCTAAATATTTATTCTTAGCAAGCTAAAAACAATACAAATAAAAGAACTTCTCTTCTATCCATGAATAGCCCTTCAGGTAGAGGCATCAAAACTCAAAACAATAAAAGGGAAGTAACCCAAATTAAGCTTAAGCTTCCCATGCAGTTTCCGTCTTTGTACTGAACACATGATGCTGAATTCAACCATTTATTCACGTGCTCTAGACTGCAAGTTCCTTCATAAGAGGGACTGTGACTGCTTCATCTCTTTTTCTAATGACCATACAAAATAGAAGCAATTAGCTTATTGATCAGTTTGAGTCTCCAGAACCAGAAAACTGGAACAACTCTTATCTGGTTATGAACCAATGAGATTCTTTCTGTGAGGGGAGGAACAAACCCTGGATAAGTCATTTCTCTTTCTCTGAAATGGAACCAGAATTAGACTTTCTTGACAGACTGACCCCAGTCTGCACAAGACATCCTCAAATGTCTCAAATACTCACTGAGTGTCCTCAGTGACCCTGGCTGAAGCCCCCACAGTGATCCAGGCAAGAGAGACTGAGACTGACTTCATGGAGTACAAATAGAAAATGGAACTGCCCAGGTAGAGCTGCAGATTCTAGATTCAGATGTGATATGCACTGTCCCTGATCAGCTAACTCTGAGACAAGATGAAAGACGAAAGTTCTCCAGTACCCCAGTATACAGGATGGCATACTAGTGATTATGGTTGTGATTACGGCTCTGGATATTTTGTGGCCCTGACCTCCCACTGCTAAGGTGCTTGTTTACACTTACAGATTCTGCCACAGGATTCTGTTCACACCGGAAGCTTCTCACACAGCTGTAGCAGGTGACAAGACCTGGAAAACTCAAAGGGCTCCACGCTGAAAGTGGGGTTTAAGAAGTCTATGTTGACTTCTCATGATGCAGAAAATGCCTACTGTGAGTTTTCTGTATGTCTTCAACCCAAAGTCTGGCCCTATCTTGTGAATCCTAGGCAGAAGCCAGCTTTTATGTGCGATTCTAGGTGAGATCAATGTGCCTCTGCATTCCTGGAGATTACAGCAAACAGAGTAAAACCAGAGACAGCCTTTCATGGAGGCTCCTTCAACACATTCTGAAGAATATTTTGACCTAAAAGGAAAAAGCTGGGGTAAACATAAGTAGAGAGTTTATTTGGGCCAAAGCTTGAAGACTGCGACCTTGCAGTATAAAGCTGCCCTGAATATATACTCCAATTAGAAGCAGTTATAAGTGTATTTTTAAAGGCAAAAAAGAAGGCAGAGAGGGGACTGATACAAAGTTGTTAGACATTCCTATTGATTTACAGAAGTAAAACTGGTTAGTGGCTGGCTGTATATTGTTAAGCCATAGAGTGTGGATTACAGTGCCCACTGTGGTATTATTAGGTTACTTTATAGCCACTGATGGCAATAGCAAGGAGTTTCAAAAAACAAATAGTTCAAAGAGGGGAACAGTAGGACTGTGGTCTCATTTTAACAAGTCTCTGGGTCTGATAATTAAAAGAACTTGTATTTCTCAGATAAAAGTGTCATTTTTCTCTCAAATCCCAGGACATAAATTCAGAATTTGGGAATACACATTTAGGTCCTGGAGGGCTGGTGAGCTATGGACATTTGTGGGCATTTGGACAAGGGGAGAAGGGACAGAATTGAAGTTCTCAGGTTTAATCAATGCACATATGTGATCCTGGTTGGGTGTATGGGCCCCATGATGTCTGAACCAGTATCAGATCTGAAGATGCCAGGAGCATGGAGGGAAGTGGAATAACTGATGGCTGTCCTGAAAAGTTATTTTTGTACAAATCTAGTCTAACTGCTTTAGAAGTGATTGTAGATCCCAAATAGAACTTTTGGTTTGCAGATTTGTGGAGCACTTTGCTGCACTTTGTGCACTTTACCACAAAATTGTGGATTGTGACTGGAATCCTTAGAAGGAAGGTTTTTTCTAAAGAGAAGCCTGGTGGGCCCTTTGTGTATACCATCCAGTAATTCTAGACAGTGTTTGGAAAATATAACTAAAAGCAAAATAATCTCCAATCCTAAGATACTCTCCACAATAACAGAACAGCAAGATAATGATTTGTTATTTAATTAAACCAAAATATGATGTGCATCACAGGCAATCTAGTAGATTGCAAATACAGAAAAAACGTCGCCATTAGTACTTAAGTACAAGACATGACAGCACCACTTGTCATACACAGTTTATAATAACATCAACTAGTAATTTGGGAGGTCATCTGGGTTTTCTAATTGGTAACATTAAAAACAAACAAACAAAAAAACCACTTTCCATATCTTCATGATAGGACGTAGTTTTGAAATGTGGAGGCAGGTACCTGCTGAAGGCAGCCTCCTACTCACCTACAGAAACTGTGGCATAGGGTGTATATTCTTGCTATTCGCATTTCAACGCAATAGTTCCCAGGTCCTAAAGACAGTTTTGAGTCAAAAAAGACAAATGACCTAGTTAACTGACAAAAATGATTTACATATTTTTCAAAGAAGCAGAGAAAATATTTAAATATAAAAGTTTTCAAACTAAATGCTTTAAGAAAAGGGAGAAGAGCAAAAATTCTTCCC